GGAAACAAGACCACCCCTCAAGCAGTTCCTCGTGCCACCGTCCTCCAACAAAGACCGTGTATTCGGAAGGGTAGGGGTCAGGCGGCGGCTCACTAGACGTGTAGGAGCGCCTCACTGCTGCGGGCGATGTGGAGGGCGCTTCATTTGGTTGATGACTGTAGGAGGAGGCAGGACAGTGGGAAGCAATAGTTCCAGGGTATGTGTTTCCCAGCCGGGAGGCGTGAGCGCCGCGCAGGTTGGAGGGTGATGCAATGGCAGTGACAGAGGAGAGGGGAGGAGAGCTGAGTCCGACTGGGCTGGACTGGACTGGACTGGACTGGACTTGACTTGACTTCGGCGAGTGGGAAGGGGCCGGGTTGGGGGTAAGGCTTCGGTGAGCGACCCCGGCGGGCGTGAGAGGGGCTCGTTGTGATTATTGCCGTCTCTGTGACCGGTGCTGGGCGCCTTCCTCCCTTTGCGAGATGTCAGTGCGCTTGAGGGCTTTTTCCTCCACCCCCTGCGGGGCCACAGCCCCCGTGGCTACATCGCCAACGCGTCAGGAGGAAAAGGCCTTTTCCCTGGGAAGTGGAGGGTGGGGGGAAGTGTCCTGGTCGCTGGAAAATGCGGCCCAGCTCAAGGATGGCAGAGCTGGTGAGTGCCTTTGCCTTGCCCCGGCAGGCGTGTCGCAGGGAAGGGTTGCAGGGCTCCAAGGTTAGAAACATTAGCTTGCAGGTTAATTTTGAACATAACCGTTCCTGCACAAGAGCTTAGCTCTTAACAGCTGTGGTATAGTAAAGATCCATATTGGACTTTCTTCAGATGAGAGTGGTTGAGTGGTCATATTATCATCTCAGGGAATTGTCTTACACGCTTTTATTATATTTTCATACATAAATTGATGATTCACATGACTCACATGACTGGGAAGGTAGGTCTACTATAAAACGCAGCCTACATTGGGAGTACTTCTCAAGGCATGTTTCACAGGACATCTGTGTGCATACTGCCTGCTTTAATTTTGCTTTTCATTTTTTGTTTTATTTCCAGGAGGCAAAACTGTTTTCAGGAACATAAGTGTTGTCAGGCTTAAATTCATGTTCTTTCATTTGTTCATGAAAATTTTTTCAGGACTTTTGTATTACTGTTGTATTTAGAAGTTTTGATATACCTTTATGCAGTGTTTGTTGTGAAAGAGCTCTTCTTAACATAATGTGAAATTCTGTTCTTTGATTCTCAGTTCTCTCACTTACCAAATCAGATAGCAAACAGTGAAAATGATCATAGATCTGTGATTGTCATCCAGCTGGAAAGAGAGGAGAATACAGTTGCTTTCTGGTACCTATGCCAAGGATTATTTTTGAGCTTTGTCTTATCACGATTTCATGTTCTGAAACAGTCACAAGAGCAGTACCCGTTACAAGGTACCATGCATTGTGTAGATAGAAAAGGCACACAATTCTTGGCTTTCAAGTTCACACTGTGAAACTGAGGCTTGTAGGGTCATCTTAAATTTTGGTCTTAGATATCCTAGTAGTCCATTCTCCAGTTCCCATGTATCGTTTTTTTTCCTCCAAATATGTTTGCATGCAGTATCTAATGTGTTTGGGACTGTTAGTTTTCATAATATCAATAAGAAATCAAGAAGAAATGTCCTGATAAAATGCAGAATATCCAGATGTTTCTTTTAAACAGTTCACAATTACATTTATGAATTTCAAAAAATGAAGACCTGTGTTCCATATTACTGAATTTCTAGCTTGAATTCCACCAACAAATAAGGACAGTATTGGGGTAAATAGAGATAAGTTTTAGGTAGCAGTCAATATCTTTTGCGTTCTATAATTGTAATATCCTCATCTCTTGTTGTAGTAACTAAATTACTTTTTCTGCTTCTTAATGAAAATGCACCTTCATTTGGAATTCTTTGCTCAGCTTGAATCCATAATATTCCAAACTTTTTAAAGTCTTTCTGTTTTACCGCTTTCCAGTATGTGTGCCTAGTCTCAGCTGTGACATTTCAGCCTTTCTGAACAGAGGCAATCTGTCAGTAAGAATGTATGTTCAGAGATTAAGTTAAAACACCAAGTCGCAATTTGTTCTACACCAGAGAATAATTCTTGTTTACCTTTTTCTGTTTTGTAAAATTTGAAGCCAGTAAATATAACTGGCATATTGCTACAGAAAGCATGCATATTAATCTTCACAAACGTTTTCTAATATGAATTTACCCTGTATACTTTCTTTTCCAGTTAAATATCTTGTGCCCATGAAAAAGAGGAAAACACTGCTGTCCAAATAAAAGAATGTAAGTAGACTGTAGGAATATATCAGAGAATTGTTTGATGTGCTTCAAATTACCTCTTTAAAATAACACTGTCAAACTGCAAATAATCAAGCTTGAAGGGATCAAGATTAGCTTAAAAAAAGTATTACTGTTAACACGTTAGTCAGTCTTATCTTAGTCAGTTATGTAATCTCAGTTTGGTATCAGTGTTAATAGACTAAGCGAATTAATTTAGCAAGTGGATGCATACACTTCTCTGCTTTCTCAGGGTGTTCTACTGAAGCTGAAATCTGGGAATATTGCAGCTGTCTGACAAACAAAGCTTTAATGGTAGATATGTTTTGGTAACCAGCAAGTTACCAAATCAATCTTCGTAAGTTTTCTAGGCAAGTGAAGGCTTTTTACAGTGGCAGTTTAAATATATACTATGTAAATATAACCAAGGTTGTGATTAGGCAGATTATTTTGTAGAAGGAAGGTTTTGAAATACTGCTGAACAGCTAATGAACTATTACATGCTTTTGTTTCTTCTTTTTTAATTCTGGGAAAAGGGAGCCAAATGAATGTGTATTTTTATTAACAGCTTTTATGATTCACTTCAGTTACATATGTATCTTGTAAACTCAACCTATTCATGCTCCATGCGTAGCAATGGACCAGTAATATACTAGGGAGTCTCTCCAGAGAGACATAATCCTTTGCAAGTCAGTAGGACTTTACATGGGCACAGAGTTCTTCCTTCATGAACACGGGCATGGCATGGCAGAGGATGCTTAGGGTGAATGCTGTGTTTCTGACACACCACCGTTTGCAACTCGGTATGAAATTAATTTACTCTTTCAACTTACATTGCATTTGTCGCTATTACATCTGAATGCAGTGCATGTAAAATAAGCATCGCTTTATGAATTAAGATGACATCACTTTCGTCCAGTAAAAAAACTATACAATAGCTCGGGTGATTGCATAAATCGACCACATCAGATTGTGAGGCAGCACTTCTCAACCCTGGCCAAGTTGCAATGATTGTTTTCATGGAAAATTTACTTTTCCCTCAGTTCACTTATGACATTAGGATCTGCACTGTTATCTCATTTTAACAGCCTCAGGTTTTATGAAATTCTTTTATAATTCTCTATATGCTTCTCTGTGTACCTTGTTATTGTTGTATGTTCATCTCAAATGGATTCGAGATAGTTGCAGTTTCACTTACAATGTTGTTTTTCTGACAGATGGTGTCCTCCTTACCCATTTTTAGCACTTACTTTCTTCTGTCTAAATATGGCAAGCTCACTATAACCAGAACAATAATGGTTTTAAAACTCTCTTCCCATATTGAGTTCATGCTTGTTTATCCTCAGTTCTGAATATTTAACAGCATGAGGCTTGAATTTTTACCAAAAAAAAAATGATTCAGAGCATATGTAGTTCTAAAGACCTCATAATTTTGTACAGATAGCTGCTCAGCATGAATAATTTTTAAAATAAGGATTTCTTAAATAAGGAATTCTGCCTTTGCTGTTGAAATGAGTTTTCAGTCATGGCAGGTTGATAACAGATTCACTGGATTTCTTAGACATAAATAAAACTCTATTTTTGGATCAGAGGTTATCTGAAGACAATTTATCAGGTAATTTTAGAAAAATGAGGAAGAAATTGCTGGGATACTATGAATTGCTGTGCCACCTTTATGGGAGGCATATGTACTAAGGTATGAATCAATTCAATGCAATCCATGTTACAGGAGTTTCCTGTCTTGGAAATTACTAAGGGGTGGTCAAGGTATTCGTTAAAATTAAGTACAGCAGAGTTTATTACGTTTTTAGATTATATCTGATGGGACAAAGATCAAGATATTTCTGATGTAGGGGTGAAAATTATTTTAATGCATTTGATAACAGAAACTGTATGCTTACTTAACATTTTAACAGCATTATTTAACTTTCTGTACTTTCTGTGTTAATCTACTGTAAACTATGCAGTTGTAGTTTTCCAAAGTCTTGGTTGCTCTTAATTAATAGACTGCTAAGAAACTTTCAGATGATGCTATTGTTAATCTATACAGCGTTATAGATGTTAGCCCCGTGAGAGAAGCCTGTTTGTGGAAGCGTGGACGTGCTCTGTGCTAGGAAGCTCCAGTGATCAAGATATATTGGACACAGGAAGACTGCTGTGTTATTATTCTTGGCCATCTCATCATCTTAAGCCATCTCCTATGGTTATTTTTCCTACGTACTGCTGAGAAACAAATAGTTCCTTAAAGTTACAGCTTATTGCTTACCCAAGGATTGTTTGTTCTTTAGAAAGCAACATTTCTCATTAATCATCAGTGTGTTTTGTAACCTCTGGAGGAAAGCAGTAAAGATGACTAAGCTTTTCTCTTGTATAAATCTGTCTTTGAGCTGAAGTACTATATTACATACATTGAGACAAAATTCCATATGATAGTTATAAAAATCTCATTATCATTCAGAATTTGACAGGGTATCAGGTAGTGCGAAAACATTAACTAATCAGGAATCAGATAACCTCTACCAGCTGTTCTGAGATGCTCTGAATTGTACTCTTGTCAATCTCAGTCCATTTCTGTATGAAACTGAAGCTTATTGTGTTAATGTCTCCACGTTTATCAATCTGATATGAATAGAATTAGGTATGGGGTCAGTATATTTTTTTATATTCTTATTCTGTTCATCTAATCTTTAAGATATACATGAAATAATAAAATACACTATTTTTTTGCCCTGTAGTTCTCCTTGTTGTTGCTGCTGTTTTGAATCTACAAGTCGAAGAATTGGAAGACATTAAATTGTAAATAAACAGATATTTTGTAGTCTGGCAAAATGGCTGACAGTCCAAACTGTGATTTGAAATCTCTGAGTCCGCTTCAGCTGTTTGAAAGAGTAACTGAGCAAGGAGAGAAAGTCAGAGCACTGAAAGCAGGAAAAGCACCAAAGGTATTTCCATTTCATGTTTTGAATCCATCCTTTTTCAAGTTAGGTCTGTCTTTAAGAGTGCTGAAAAATAAGATTGTTCTGAGATCTATTTTGTATTGCAGTAAGAAAAAATCTTGTTAAAAAATACTTATGTCCATTTTGTGAACTGTGGACATACCTGGAGCAAGGTAGTCGCTAGCAAGACCAAAGTGTTTACTCCTGAAGTAAGAACAGAGAGTCATAGGCTTAGAAGTCTGCTTCAGCCAGTTGCCCTGCTATTTGACAGGATGCAAGGTATTCGATTTTCAAGTAAAATTTAGATCACTTGCATTCTCCCCTGGTTTTAGATGCTTCATTAAAATCTTTTTTTCCGTGCATTATTGTACACATTAACAAATATGTCTTCCTGTAACTGTACTGACAGTCTCTGCTTAATGTCCCTTAAGTAATTCAGTAATTTACCATTAATTTCAAGTTCCCTATTCTGTCATCACTATGCTGGCAAAGAGAGCTCAGTTTTAATATGAACTGTCTTACTGTATTGCCTGGGGGAGTAAGCCTTGAAAACTGAGAGTCAAATAAAGTCTTGATCTACTTATTGCTTGCCTGAAATGTTTCAATAGCTTTGTATTAAAAAGGTCATAACCATGGAAGTTGTAAAGAACTTTTTGTTCTAGTTTGTCTTAAAGTCTGTCAATGAATTGTAATGAATAAATTATTTTAAGGTGAGCCACTAAGAGCATTGTGAAGTAAATTAGGTAATAAATTATATTATATTTATGTATCTTACAAATTTGTGCTTAAAATGTTAAGCTTGTTATACCTCTGAAAAGCAGGTAAGCTTTTTTTTTTTTGTCCTCAGGCAGAAATTGAAAAGTGAGAGGTGCTTTAAATATCTTGGCAATAGTGATGCTCTAAATTATGCTGATTAGGAAACAGTTACCTGCTATTTGCTTTTCTTTTATCTTTGGCAGTGATGCTGCAAAGATCTAAATAACAGCTTAGAATTTATGAATAGTGCAATTCAAGTCAAAGCATGGATGCAGAATTTTGAAAGGTTAGGACATTAATGTGATTGTCTATCTTTAGTATGTTAAGTCAAACAGGTTATTTTCCTTTATTCAGGATGAAATTGATGCAGCAGTGAGGATGCTATTATCATTAAAACTGTCATATAAAACAACAACAGGACAAGATTATCAGGCAGGGTTGCCTCCAAGAGATCTTGTATTAATAAACAATGGTACAACTAAAGAAGAGGATGAGGATTTTGTGGACCCCTGGACTGTGCAGACATCAAATGCTAAAGGCGTGGATTATGACAAACTCATAGGTATAATTCTTTCTTCACTGCTACTAAGGAGTTTGTGTAAGGTGATCCTAATGACCACAGAAACAGCAAGGGATCATAACAAATCGTGATCAAAGCATCATAGGTAACATTTAATTTATGTCTAATCTTAACATTCACATGTCTAAACAATTTGCTGTAGGAGTTGAAAATGTCCCAGGCAGGGATTTCCTATGGAAGACTTAAATACTTTTTGCAAAGAACTTTTCAGTTGAAAGTAAAAGTTTTCCTTGCAGTTTGTTTTTTGGCATAAGGACTGTTATTAGAAGTTACGTTAATGAAGACACTGTGACTGAGTATCTGCATCTTCAGTGGCTGCAATGCAGAACAGCTAGAGCCTAGAACACTCTGGCCAGGCTGTAGGATTCTTTCTACTGTTTCTGCCCATCTACCTTGGCTACAAATTAGGGAGGGCAGGGATGATCCAAAACTAATGCAGAAATCTGTAAGTGTAATGACTTCTTCAGAAGACACACTGTCAAGCAGCCAGGTGCTGGCTGGGATGAAGAAGATGCAGCTCATTCAAAAAATGTACAATGTAATGGAAAATATTTTAGACAGGGGTGTTACAAAACTTCCGAAGTTTTGTAATTTAAGAAACAAGGGTTTAGTTAATTTCCTTGTTTCTTTTACAGTCTGCTATTTTAATAGCTTTTTTGAGTCTAGCATAGAAACAGGTGAGAGAACTGTTCATTAATTTTTTACTATTTTTGCCTTTTTTTCATTATTGTCAATCTTCAATTCATATTTATTACCTCAGTTGTACATTGCTGGTGTCTCCTTAGAAGCTTGTTTCTCACAATAGAGCATACACTCTTACGTGGCAGTAAGCATATATTTGCTTTTGCGAGCTCATTAACTCTGTGTGATGTTATTGTAGCATCATGTCAAATGTATGTGCATATTGGCTTAGTCTCCAGAAGGAAATAGGAGAAAGAAAAAGTTGGAAAGGGAAAAGTGTGCAAAGAAAAATATATCTCAGTGGGGGAGAAGGAAAAAAGATAATTGTTAGAATCTAGAAGTGGAGAAGATCTCTCATCATCTTGTTACTTGTGTAGGAGATATGGAGAAGGTTTTTTGTTTTCTTAGTGGAGGTTCTAAGTCTTTTAGAAAAATGGGAAGAGTAGAATACTTGTGTTGGCACAATCTCAAGATCTTTCTGAGAATGACTAACATGACTAAAGTGTAAATCAATTCTCTAAAGCCATGTTAAAGCCTGACAGCAATGCAGTTTTTTTCAGTAACTGTTTTTGTGTCTATGTATGGCCTTTTGATCTACCCTAGAGTAGTGGGTTAGCCTGAATGGTTTTTACTTATTTGCACTGCTAGCAGATTGGGGGATTTGGTGGATGAGTCATTTTACTTGTTCTAAGCGATGTATTGGAAAGTTTTCTGAGAAGAATGCTAGCCTAGCCACCTCAGGAAGTGAAACAATTACCCCTTGTTATTGATAAACTTCCTCCTCTTCATCCCGCTTTTAAAAATAATAATAAAAAAGTCTTGTCTAAAAAGTTGACATCTGATAGCTTTTACCACAAAGGAAATTTTTGTGCCACCTATAATCTATTTACTAGTGGTACCAGAGGAAGTTGCCAGTGTACTTGTCTTTATTCAAACATAGACGAAATGAAAGTGCTAAAAGCAGTATGTAATTGAAAGGGATATTCTTCTCAATTGTTGTCTTAGACGTGCATTTAAGTGTATGGTTACACAACAAAACAGCCTGAAGATACTCCGAGAAGAAAGGTTCTGTTAGCTAAGTACTAAACATAAACATCTCTAGAAATTCGTTTGTCTGTTTGAGCATGAGCAGAGGGATGAGTGAGAAAGAGCTTTGTATGCTAACCATACTGATAGTTCAGTGAGCTGGATATTGCAAGTGATACAAGATGGTTGAAGTTGGCGGGGATTTTTTCAGATCATATAGTCAACCCCGTTCCTCAAAGCAGAGTCAACTAGAGCAGGTTGCTCAGGACCTTATCCAGTAGGATTTTTATTATCTCCAAGGATGGAGATCCCATGACGTTCCAGAGCAGCCCGTCTCAATATCATATAATCATAGAATCATTATGGTTGGAAGAGACCTCAAAGATCATCAAGCCCAGCTGTATACCCAATGCCACCATGCCCGCTAAACCCACTAAACCATGTCTCAAAGTGCCACATCTAAATGTTTTTTGAACACCTCCAGGGATGGTGAGTCCACCACCTCCCTGGGGAGCCCGTTCCAATGCCTACTGACTCTTACAGTGAAGTTCTTCCTAATATCCAACCTGAACTTCCCCTGGCACAACTTGAGACCATTTCCTCTTGTCCTATCGCTGGTTACCGGGGAGAACAGACCAGGCCCCACCTTGCTACAACCTCCTTTCAGGCAGTTGTAGAGGGCGATCAGGTCTCCCCTCAGCCTTCTTTTCTCCCGACTAAACAACCCCAGCTCCCTCAGCCGTTCCTCATAAGACTTGCTCTCCAGGCCGTTCACCAGCTTTGTTGCCCTTCTCTGGACTCGCTCCAGCAGCTCAATGTCCTTCTTGTAGTGAGGGGCCCAAAACTGAACGCAGCATTCAAGGTGCGGCCTCACCAGTGCAGAGTACAAAGGGATGATCACTTCTCTGAATATTTAACCATGTGAACAATATGAAGTTTTTTCATATGTTTAAATGGAATTTTCTTTATTTCAAATTGTGCCCATTGCCTTTTGTCATTTCACTGGGCATCACCGAGAAAAGTCTGGTGCTGTCTTCTTTACTCCCCCACCTCCCCTAATCGCATATTTATACATATAGAGAAGATCCCTGCTGAGCCTTTTCTTCCCCAAGCTCAGCAATCCCAGCTCTCTCAACCTCTCCTCATATGAGAGATGCTCTAAGCCCTTCATCTTCATGGCTCTTTGCTAGGTTCACTTTAGTATGCCCATGTGCCTCTTATGCTGGAGCCCAGAGCTGGACCCAGTGCTCCAGATGTGTCTCATCACTGCTGAGAAGAGGGGAAGGCTCACCTCCCTTGACATTCTGGCAGCGCTATTCGTAATGTAGCTCCTAAGGCCTTTGACCTTCCAATGTCACAGGAGCACATTGCTGGCATATGTTCAATTCCTCGTTTACCAGGACCCTAGGACCCTAAGGTCCTTCTCTGCCAAGCTGCTTTCCAGCCAGTTGGCCCCCTGCCTGTACCAGTGCATGGAGTTATTCCTCCCCAGATAGAGGACTTTACATTCTCTTTTGTTGAACTTCATGAGATTATTGTCAGCCCATGTCTCCAGCCTGCTGAGGTCCCTCCAAATGGCAACACAACCATCTATTGTATTAGTTACCCCTCCTAGTATTGTTTCATCTGCAAACTTGCTGAGAGTGTACACTGTCCCATTATCCACATCATTAATGAAGATGTTAAACAGTATCGGCCCCAGAATCAACCCCCTGGGGTACACAAATAATGTTGGGCTCCAGCTGGACTTTGTGCTACTGGTCACAACCATTTGAGCTTGACAGTTCAGCCAGTTTTCAGTTCATCTTGCTGTCTATTTATGTAGTCCAGACTTCATCAGTTATCTATGAGAATGAGATGGGAGACAGTGTCAAAAGGCTTGCTAAAATTGAGAGAAACAATATCCACTGTTCTTGCCTCATCTACTAGGCTAGTCATGTCATCATAGAAGGCTATGAAATTGGTCTGACATGATTTCCCATTCATAAATCCATGCTGACTAGTCCCAGTCGCCTTCGTGTCTTTAATAATGTTTAGGAATGGTTTCCAGGATTATTTCCTCCATCACATGCCCAGAGATTGAGATGAGGCTGCCAGCCTGTAGTTCATTGTTCCTTTTTCCCTCCTTCAAGGTAGGAGTGGCATTTGCTTTGTTCCAGCCCCAGGAGCCTCTCCCAGTCGCCATGACTGTTCGAAGATTATTGAGACTGGCCTGATCAGTAAAGTTACTGTATAACAAATAGTAAGTTATTAGTTTTCTGTATGCAAAGGTAACATGACAATGGCAAAGAGGAAAAGTACACAGTATATTTTCAGCAAATGCAGATACGCTTTTGAAAATGCTGGCTCTCAGGACTTCTTCTGTACAGCAAGTTGAAACCTGTCTTTTGGTAAAAACGAGAACACTAGAGATCAAAAGCACGCTAGGAATTTTTTTAAAGCTTGTTAAGGAGTGGAGACTGTCCTTGTCAGAAACTGTTTAGGAAAGCAGATTCTTTTTGGATAGAGAGCCTAAAATGTTTTGAACATCCTCATAGAGGAATAAGCGGAAATAGGTAGGGAAAAATTATCCATTTTTTTAACAGGAAATATGAAGCTGTGCAGTCTGTGAATGTTTAATAAAGATATTTAGGCATTTCCAGTGAAGTGTTCTATATATCGGAGAGCTTTTAATCAATTTCTATGACAGTATACAAATCTTTCTAGGGTGGCTAGCCCAAATTAATCTCGGGCATTCTCATGTTTTCTGTTTCTGTAAGATTAGCCTCTTACCGGTTACTGTTGTTCTGCTGAATCAAACATTTTCATGTTCATTTGGTCTCTTTTTAGCATTTGTCCAGATTATAATTACTTTGCTATTTTGTAATGCATTGTATTTGCTAGGCAGAAATTCATTCAGTAATTAGGGCTCGCTTAGGACAAGCAGATGCAATAATGCTCGGAAAATGTGCGGATTAAAGCAGTGGTCGCTGAATCATATACCAGCATTCATCTTTTTTAGTGACATTTACTTTAACAGGTCAGTGGATGGGCCCAGTGCTCCCCTTGTATGATATCCTGCTTGATTTACCTGGAGTGAATGAACAATTGTAAGCAGAAACTTGTTTCCCATTGGATAATGGTGTAGACGCCAAGCTGAGTGGTGCAGTTGACATGCCTGAGGGATGGGATGCCATCCAGAGGGACCTGGACAAGCTTGAGAAGTGAGCCCATGTGAACCTCAAGAGGTTCAACAAGGCCAAGTGCAAGGTCCTGCACATGGGTATGAACATCTGCAACATCTGGTATGAAGACAGGCAGGGGGATGAAGGGATTGAGAGGAGCCCTGAGGAGAGGGACTTGGGGGTATACTGGTGGATGAAAAGCTGGACATGAGCCACAATGAGCACTTGCAGCCCAGAGGGCCAGCCGTATCCTGGGCCACATCAAAAGAAGCGTGGCCAGCAGGTCAAGGGAGGTGATTCTCCCCCTCTACTCTGCTCTGGTGAGACTCCACCTGTAGTACTGCATCCAGCTGTGGGGTCCTAGGCACAGGAAAGACAGAGGAGGGCCAAAAAAATGATCAGAGGACTGGAGCACCTCTCCTATGAGGAAAGGCTGAGAGTTGGGGTTGTTCAGCCTGGAGAAGAGAAGGCTCCAGGGAGACCTTATTGCAGCCTTTCAGTACTTAAAGGGAGCTTATAAGCAAGGTGGAGACAAACTTTTTAGTAGGGCCTGTTACGATAGGATAAGGGGAAATGGTTTTAAACTAAAAGAAGGTAGATTTAGACTAGATATGAGGAAGAAATTTTTTACAATGAGGGTGGTGAAACACTGGAACAGGTTGCCCAGAGAGGTGGTAGATGTCCCATCCCTGGAAACATTCAAGGTCAGGTTGGACAGGGCTCTGAGCAACCTGTTCGAGTTGAAGATATCCCTGCTTATTGCAGGGGAGTTGGACTAGATGACTTTTAAAGGTCCCTTCCAACCCAAACCATTCTATGATTCTATGACAATACACGTAGTTTTCCCTCCCATTTAGTAATTAATTCCTACTAACTTCAAGTTTAATGACTATATACAAAGCCTTATAGTAATGCTGTGCATAACCAGTAATTCTAGAAAAAAATGAAATGGATATAGAGGGTCTGAAACAGCACAAATGCTCATCTCCAAGTTGATGCTAAAAGTAGATCCATTAGCACTCTTCTTTCTTGTCACAATTGAGTCTTTCTTTCAGTGGGGGTTCCTGATTTTTGTTTGTGAAAGGCTGTTCAGTGAATAGTTCATATAACAAAATGAAAAAACAGTTCACATAAGAAACTTAAACACACATCCCCATTTTAAGCCAGACTGTAGGAGAGGAACTCCCTGTGGGATAGGAACTCCCTGTACTCAGGGCTTCTCAGCATCCTGGTGCGCCAGGGTACATGTTGGTCTGACTCTGCTATGCTGTCCTTCATAAATCCCTTGGGAGCACTGCAGTCTCAATGATTAGGATGGCCATAGTTTTAAATAGTCTTTTTTGAAATGTATGCAAAGCCTTGATGGACTAAAAATAGCCTCCATGCTGTGCTTCGAGAACCTGTGCTGTAAAGTGATGGAAGGCCTCTTTCCTTTCCCTTTTCTAGGGAAGAAATTAGTCTGGTTTAGTATAATAAGCCCAGAGTGTCTGAATGTTTGGCTTTTCAAATTACACCAGTGTGCTTAATATTCCTTGCTGCCCCTGCAGGTTAATTTTCTTTGTAAAATGAGTTGCATACCCAAGGCAGTACATTGGGTAACCAGCACAAGGAGAGAGCTCTGCCTCCAGCTGGAATCAGTCTCTCTGTTGTCCAGTGGTGTGAACTGCTATGCTGTCCAGCTAAGGATCGTTAATCACATGCTAGGATGTAATTACAATATTCCTGCAGGAAGGTTTTTAATGTTACTGGTTTTTGGCTTAAAAAAGAAATTGAAAATTTACAACCAGAAACATGCATAAGAACGGAATTCAAAGTACACCTGATTCTGTGTGGGGTATTCAGAGTGATTGGTGTGTTTTCCACAGTGCAGAAGTATAGTAGTCAAGTAAGTCATAGTTTACTAGCCCCATAATGAATGGTTTAAAATTAATTTCTTTGTTTCTAGTTTCCTTAGGAAACCATCAAGATACTTGAAATTTGTCAAGTGTCAGCTATATGTTCCTGTGGAATGATTGTTTCCTGTTACAGCTAGGAAAACCTGAAGTGATTCTCCCATGTGGACATGTGTCTTAAAAACCATTGTAGTCTCTCTCTAATAAGACAGTCAAAATAGATGGATCTAGATATTTTGTACATATAAAATGTGTCTTTACATCCAAAGGCTCTATTTTGTTCTCTTGAATACTTTGGGGTTTCCAATAATTAATAGAGCAAGTTGTTCTAATGTTGAATAGCACAGAATAGTAGCAAAGAGTAGATTCTTATCTAGATTTATTTGATCAAGTCCAAATCATGGAGCACTGACGTGCTTATTAGAGTCCAAGAATTGGGTCTGGAGCATAGGAAGCTTTACTGAAGAAATAAAAGACTTCCCTAGTTCAGTTTTGTTGGGAATAGGAAAAAAATACTGCTAATTCACTCTATCAAACTTTTTTGAATTAAATGACTAGATCTGAAAATGTTGTTTTATTAATCAGCTGATTTCCTAAACCACCAAGTAATAAGTCTTACTTGATTGCCATGAAGAGTATTATGCATTACCTTTTCAAGCCTCTTGAGGGGAGCAGTGTCTGTAATCGTATCCATCATATCCATATAACCATATCCATAAGTTTGCAGAAGAGTATTTGGGGTTGAAAAGTGAAAAACCATGTGATCTGAGGGCAGAAAATTGAGACATCAAGAGAGGAACATTCAGAGCCTGACAGCCATTTTTATCCTGTGGCTTACAGAGGCCAAGTTATTGACCTAAATGTCTTTCTTTGGAATGTTTTTTGTTCTGAGTATCAATACTTCTGCTGTAAGGAGACTGCAATTATAATCAGTCATGGATGGAGCAATACTACATGTTGTGAATGGACTGGGCCTCCTAGCACAGAGTTAGTACTGGAGATGACTGCTAGGACTTCAGGCAAGAATCGAGAAAATCTAGCCATTTTACCCGAGACTTGAAGAAGTTGTCTTTTTTTAATCTAGGCTGCATTGGTATGTTCTTGGTAATTCAAGATCTGGTTGTAGCTATGCTATGCTTTCTTTCTTTCTTTTTTTTTTTTTTTTAAAAAACATTTTATGATTCTAGTTCGGTTTGGCAGCAGTAAAATTGACACAGATCTGATCAATCGAATAGAAAGAGCTATTGGGCAAAAACCTCACCGCTTTCTACGTAGAGGAATCTTTTTTTCTCACAGGTGAGTTTTTCTTGTTTTAAAATTCAAAAAGGTCCTATTAGGTAGACTTTCTGTGAGCATTATTGGGAGAAACCTGTGATTAGCAAAAGACCATGTTCCTTTATACCAAAGTAAACCAACTGTGTCATTTGAAATTAGGAATTACTGCAGGTTTCCCCTGGCAACATTTGAAGCCCTTGGTTGCATCAGTTTCTGATATGTCCTCAGTAATCCTTAACTGAAGAAATGTGCACAGAATCTTTGCTCTATGTAGATTCCATTTTGACTCTTATGTTAGCAGCCGGACAAAGGCATTGGCCTGGCAGAGAACTCCAGGGCTCATGTGGTGTCACTGCTGATTTCAACAAGGGCCCATGTGGCCTGTTGACCTATACATCTGTATTGTTACATAAAAAAGGCTCAGGGATTAATCTTGAGCACTGGCCTGCCAGTTATCTACACAGTTTAATTGTTAGCATGCATGAGCCTATGGCAGCTAGCACATTTCAAATAAGTGCCTGAGCGTGATTCAGAGTATAACCTCCACCAGAGACCGTTCCAAGCTGGCTGTTTGAACCTATTCGGGAAATGATTCGCAGCTCTGTTTTACTAGGCCTTAGAAATTATTACCCAATTAAGTAATTTTAAAAGTTGCACATTTTTTAAATTTAATTTAAATATTGAATTTTACATTAATTTTTAATTTAATTTTTCCTTGAGGGTTTTATTCATGGAGACTGGCTGAGACAATACTTTTCTTAAATTAAAAAAATGAACAAACAAAACCCTTTTATTTCTAGGAGACTTAACATACTATATTTTATTTATAAATACATTTGGCTTTAAAAGCACTCAAATTTTGAATAGAAGCTTTTTGCTGTAGGTGTTTGTTCCTAAAGAGTTGCATCATGTTTTCTCTGTTTTTTCTTTAGAGATATGGACCAAATCCTTGATGCTTATGAAAATAAGAAGTCCTTTTACCTTTACACAGGCAGAGGGCCGTCCTCTCAGGCAATGCATGTTGGTCATCTTATCCCATTTATATTCACTAAGTAGGTTATTTCTACCATTTGTATTAATCAAAACTTTTTTTTTTAAGGCAATGTTGAATATGGTTTATGGAACTGCCAAAATGATACATTGCAAGCAGTTCTGTTTATGTAAGGTGAATATTAATGAACTTAAACAATGAAATCTTACCTTTTCACTAAAATTATCGTAATCCCTGCATCACCTTAAAGGCCCCTTCTTTGCACCCTTAGCCCTGTGGCACTGCTTAGAACTGTTGTTCTGCTTAAAAACAAGTTTGTGATGAGACTCAGTGACATTACTCTATAATGGGGTGCCTGCAGCAGCAGGACATAGAGATATTGGACTCAAAGAATCACAGAATCGATTTGGTTGGAAGAGACCTCTGGGATCATCAAGTCCAACCTTTGCCCTAGCACCACCATGTCAACCAGACAATGGCACTAAAAGTGCCACGTCCAGTCTTTTCTTAAACACCTCCAGGGATCGTGACTCCACCACCTCCCTGGGCAGCCCATTCCAATGCCTAATGACCCTTTCTGTGAAGAAATGCCTCCTCATTTCTAGCCTGAACTTCCCCTGGTGCAGTTTCAGACTATGCCCTCTTGTCCTGTCACTGGTTGCCTGGGAGAAGAGGCCGACCCCAACTTCGCTACAACCTCCTTTCAGGTAGTTGTAGAGAGCAATCAGGTCTTCCCTCAGCCTCCTCTTCACCAATGGGACTAAAAGTCTCATTGAATTCTGTTTCCATTGCAAATGGTGACTGCTATCATATGTATGGGAAACAGTAAGTGGGAGTCTTTTTTTTCCAGGTAAGTTGTCATCATAATCTGTATAAAATGTTTGTTCTGTTCACATAAACGTAACTGCATATGCATGCAAAGAAAAGAGAAGCAGACCTCTATATACTTTTGTTTAAATGTATGAAAATATTTTAGCTCTGCAATTTACATCTCCATTTTAACTTATTTTTAGATAAAATCTTTCTGCTTTTATTAGGTGGCTGCAAGAAGTATTTGATGTTCCTTTAGTTATACAGTTAACTGATGATGAGAAATACCTTTGGAAGGACCTGACAATTGAGAAGGCATATGAGTACGCTAGAGAAAATGCAAAAGACATCATTGCATGTGGTTTTGACATCAATAAAACCTTTATATTTTCTGATTTAGACTATTTGGGGTAAGTATAAATTTCTTTAGGGTGTTGTAATCAAAAAAAAGTGTCTGTATTTTCTCTCCAACTTTGACAGCCAGCAATGTTTTAATAAATATATCTAAATTTGAAAGCATCAAGAAAAGTTTTACATCACTTAAAATAGAAACGTATTACTTTTTCTCCTCTCTGACATTTTATATATATACTGTTGTCATCTCCTGTATAACATATAGACAAATACTTGTGTGTGCAATGCTTAAATTTAAATTATGAAAAATATATTAAACCAGCTAAATTGTAAAAATACCTAAACGACCAAGAAACCTCCAGATTGATTTGTTTAAGATGGTATCAAAATCTTTGAGATGTGTTTACAATTTATCTGCGTTAATGAAAGACATTTCAGCAACTTGTGGTCAATTAATTTAATAATACAACATGAAAGATTATTATTTGAACTTTGAGTAAAGTTTAAAGAAGATTTAAGAAAAAGAAACTGCTATTGGAACTGCCTTCTCAGAAGGAAGAAGTTTCATGGCAGAGTTCAGAACTGAAGTTGTGGGCTTTGTTCTTCCATGTGGAATGATAAGCTTCCTTAAGACTTGGATGAGAAAATATATACTTTAGAAATGAACTGCATAATGTTGAGCCTACAAAACAGTTTTTCCTCCTTTTGCTCCCCTGACTTTTGTGCCTTAGAAAAGTTGTATTAACACAGATCTGCCCTGTGGCTGAAGGAGGGCAGGTCAGAACTGCTGTTTCTTTTGCTTCAGCTCCTCAGCAGAAATAAAAAAGAAGTCGCTGAGCTATTTTTGATTTGGAAATGCTGCTGCTGTATTTGGTGATAGAGAAAGTCCAGCCAGGGAACTGGTGAACCTCAGTGTCCTATATGGGATACACACTGGGGATACCATGCAACACAGAAGACATGATCCATTCAGGTTGCCTGAGTTCACAGAGAAGCATAAGGATCGATAAACTTCAGGCTCCATGAGGCATTTTGGAACCATTTCCAAATCAAAATATTTCTGGGTTTAGAAAGTTAATTGCGACAAAAAATGTTTGCAGTAAATGTTGGAGGAAGGGAACAATAAATTAAACTTTCAAGGCATAAAATTCTTGTTTGTAAATAATTCTCTATAATCATCTCAATGGGCCACAAAAAGTCAAACGGTGAGATTTAATCCTGCAGGTTTTTTGACATTCTCAGCTTTTGGAGTGAAAGTTTCTACCCACACTCTTCTGCCCTTCTCATTTTATTTTTCCACTTTCTTTCTCACAGGACAAGTACTGGATTCTACAAAAACATCGTCAAAGTTCAAAAGCATGTTACGTTTAACCAAGTGAAAGGAATCTTTGGCTTTACAGACAGTGATTGCATTGGTAGGAAATCATATGAGTTAATAGAAGTGATGCTTGCTTTCACTTTCTATGGCACTATTTAAGTAATAACTTAAAGAGATTAGTGTCTGCCACTCATGAAATTAATAGAAAAAGCAAGAGGATCTATGTTTCTAGGCTGATTCTGAAAGGATGTTATTGTGGTTCCTTCAGTATAGAAAACGCTTTAAAGTGAAATTTCTAACGTGATACCTACCTTTTGGGCCTTAGTAACAGCAAAGTACAAAACATCAATGTTGAAGTGCCCAGGATAGACAACTTTTTTTTTTAATAGTGATTGCAGCTATAGTCAATTATGCCTCCTAGAAATTTCTATGCCAAATTTATATAGAAGCTTTTCTCTTCAGAAAAAGTTATATTAATACACACCCATATACAAATATGAAAAAAGTTAAGGAGTGCTCAAAAGCCTAATTATCAAGGTGCTGGGTAACTCTGTCTTTCATTTACTTCACTGCGACTGCAGGTGTCTTATCACAAAAAAAAATAGCATTAAAGTCAAAGATAGCATTAAAACCTTGGTGTTCCTGAGCACTAACATCATTCTTTGACCAATAATTAGGCCAGTGACAGCTTTTCAGCCTTCACTGTAACCAAGGAACAGATTCCTACTTGTTTTAACAGTGCTGTAATAAAAGTTGGTATTGTGATAATGACTTCATTACATGTTTGGAAAAATCTGCTATTTGCTTTCTGTTCTGAGAGGATATTGATCAGGGAAGCAGGTTGGTCACCCTGCGATTAAACACTGTATAAAATAGAAAACTAGACACATCTGAGATGCTTCATGAGTGCAGCATGCGTATAGCAATGATTCTAAGATCTTAGAGGGGAATTTGCCAGATAAGTAGCTCTATAGTCATTCTCTCACAAGAGAAAACAAATGAGCAGCTCAGAGTGATGATGCAGTCAATTGTATTTCTGGGAAGGGTAGATAGTTCAGTGATGAAGAGAGTATGGATTGATGAACCTTTTCCAAAACCTTTGTGATCACAGCCTGCTTTTTTTACTTAGTTTCTATGTTGAAGTTTTCTTGATATCATAGAAGGTAAAGATGAAAAAGTTTCCTCAGATAAGGCAACACTGCTTGATAAAGACAGATGTTGGTCTTCAACTGAGTACCTGAATGATTCACTCGTGCATTTTACATGTTTCAAAAAGTTCTCTCTATTTATCATTGCTTATATTGGCTGCCTAGCTTTTCCAAACATGTTGTTTCCTAGGAAAGATCAGCTTTCCTGCTATTCAAGCTGCTCCATCCTTCAGTTCATCATTTCCACAGATCTTCAATGGCAAAGAGAACATTCAGTGTCTCATCCCATGTGCTATTGATCAGGTAAGAAAATCATATTACTTAATTTGGAGTTCATGGATTTGTTTTTGTAATGTACTGTTCAAACTTCATGGTGGAATATCGAAACATCTGTAAGACGTTCCTGCAAGCACCTTTCTGGGGCAGAAACTTGGAAGAGATAAAAGGATGTTGTGCTGTGACCTGACAAAGATGAAGGCTTAATCCATCAATTCATGCGTTACTCATTCTTAGCAGTCTTGGATCTGTCTTGATCTCAACCCAGTTCACAGTGAGCTGACATCTATAAAAGCAAAGACAGTAAAATCTATGCAGAAGTATACTGACATGGGGGTAGGAAGAAACTTTTGGCCATCTCCATGGTTACTAGGACAAGATGTAGTGAGCTCAACTTGCAGCATAAGAGATTTACCTTGAACCATATGAAAAAACCTTCTACGAGTAAGAATAAAGCAGCATTGAAGTAGTTTGCCAGAAAGGCTGCAGAACCTTAACAAATCAGATCTATAGAGATAGGTTGGAAGAACATCTGCTACAAATGACAGTGTTAGCGTCATTACTTTTAAATAAGTATTGTTTCTAGGAATCAAATTCTGCACTGTGTGAATCTTTAGCTATTTTAGTCACAGGGACAGTCACTGGAAGATGGTGTAATTACATTCATCAGCCACAATATTATGTAGTAATATCATTGCAGTTGGTTTAAGTTAGATCATCAGCACAGCACTGCCAGCTTGATCACTGCTTTAGTTCAGATTCTGTGCTGGTTGTTAAATGCTTTGGGAGGAAGTTTGCATCTTAGTCTGCATCCATCTCCAGGCATACTAAGCATCATTTTCACAACTATTTGAATTCCTGTAAATCTTTATAAATATACCGATTAAGTGAGGGAATCAGAGTGTACAGCGAAACTATGGAAATGAAAAAAAGGAATTTTGTTTGTTTGTTCCTCTGGATGAACTGTATTAGAATTAGGTTCTGGAACATTTCATGGTTTGGGGTTTTTGGGTTTCTTTTTTCTTTTTTTCTTTTTTTTTTTTTGAGACCACCTGTTAAGGCATGAACGAGTCATCACTAATCAGCTTTTAAATCACATTTTTCAACTTTTTTCTGTGCTTTTATTGATGGTTCTTCTAGGATCCTTATTTTAGAATGACCCGGGATGTAGCACCTAGAATTGGACAGCCTAAACCAGCCTTATTGCACTCAGTCTTCTTCCCAGCCCTGCAAGGAGCACAGACAAAAATGAGTGCTAGTGACCCAAACTCCTCTATCTTCCTCACTGATACACCCAAACAAATCAAGACAAAGGTAAGGACCTGCAAAACCTGAGAGCACAAAGCTTTATAACAAAAAGGACTGGTGGTCCTCATGGTTACAAGGACAATTTTTTAATGTTTTCTTTGAACATATCTGAATCCTTTTTCCCATACATTTCATGGCAAAACATCTTTAGGAATTGACTGAGTTATACAAATTTAGCTAGACTATCAAATATAATCTTTTGTCTTGCCAGCTAGTCTAACAGTACAAACATTAGCTAGAATAATGTACAAAACATCATGTTTGTTTATCTGATATCTGCAGAGCAGTGATGTAAGAATAAGAGCTGTGGAGGCTCATGCTCTAAAAACAAATATTATGTTGCCATAGTTTTGAAATCTGACAGTCCATGATGTAAATCAAATAAACAGCTCTTTCTCTTGACTGCCTCTCCATACTGGAAGTGCCAGGCATTGCACAGTGTCAGTTACCACACAGGTCAGACTTTTCCTACTGCTTGGGGATCTGCTGCTGCCATGCACTCTTCCCTCCAGTTCACAAACAAATATTAGGTTGAATTTCACCTAAGTTTTAGAAGGGTGTTTTCTCCTACCTAGGTATATTCCTAGTGCCTTTTTGACCTCAAAGAAAAATCCCTCTTATCTGGTATCAGATGATTTAGTTTGGCAAAAGTTCACCTGTGTTGCAGTATTTAAAAAAATAAAATCAGTCTATGGAAAAGGATTTATAGGTGTGATAACCAGACATGGAATAACTATCTGTGAAAACAAGAAAAAAGCAGTTGTTTCTGATGGGTGGGCTTGGATTAATTCTCTTATGGTTGACAAACCCATGTATAGGTCAGATTCTTCTACAGCCATCTCATAATGATTCATTATCGTATGTAGAAACTGATTAAACAGTACTGTTTTGAAGAATTGGAATTCTTCATGTATTTGGACTATAATAATTCCAGTTTATTTGCACAGTTACAGAACTGCTTTTTAAAAAAGGCTGTAATTTCAAAATACAGGATACACGGCTAGTGGCAATGTTGGTAACGTTCTTCCATTTTTTTTCCTAGCAAGTAGCTAGTAATCTGCAAAGAGATCCAAGATGCCTTATGTCTAGTTAATAAGTCTTATTTCTGCTATCTTTAAACTGGTTGGAAAAAGAACAAAATAGTTCTAGCTACTTGGAATATAAAAGCTCTAAAGAAAAAATTCTGAACATAATGTAAAGTATTGAGTAATGGAGGACAAAATTAGATTTATTTTAGCTTCTGAAGCCCATCAAAAACAAGTCTTTATGAAAATAGAGCTTGAGTGAAAGACCAAATATTGTTACAGCCAATAAATTAAAAAATAGAGCAGGAAAGGTGATGGATGAAGGTTAAAAAGAGAGTGCCACTGCTGCACAAAAAAAAATTACTGCTTGCAGCATTTTTCAGATTACTAATACATTGCTAAGTAATGAGGTTCAAAACTTACAGGTAATAGAAGATGAAAAATTGCTAGGTATTGGGAAAGGCTGAGAAGCTTCTGGGAAATCCAAGGAGATGAATGGCAACATTATGATAAACTATTCTTATTTCACCTATCAGCACCAAATTAGAGCTCAATTATTTGTTTGTTTTCCTTGAAAGCGTTATTTAGATTCTAAGTCTGTACTAATTCAGAGAAAAGATCAGTGCATCACTATAGATAAATCATTGAAACCTTCAGTCAACGAGTAGGTGCCAGAATATGTAAAAATGAACTTCAGACTAATATAGGAAACATTTTGTATAAAACAATAATATGCCTTCACCTGGCATATTGTATTTAATCCCTCTCACTTTAGTAAGAAGACAAACTGTAGAGATGAGGGACATAGAAAAAATTTTATACAAAGACTTTCAGAATCTAGTAAGGATAGAGATGAGTGCACAACAATGTGTAAAAAGTTAGTTTTACAGATGCTGAGACAGCTGCTGAGGCTGTCCTGCAATATAAGAATAGATGTAATGCAACAGATGGCAGTTTATTTTCTTAAGATACTCATCAGTGCATCATTTTTGTATGTAATTTGTTGCCACAAGACATCATCTGTAACATGGTGGTTAGAAGGATTCAAAAAAGCACTAGACTATTCATACAGATAGTAAGAATGTTCAGAAATTGTAAATATATAACAGCTCCTAGATACCAGAACTAAAAAAAAAAAAATCTACTCCATATGCGTGTGTGTCTTTTGGCTGGTTGATGATGATATCTGAAAAGATACAAGAGCAAATGAAAGCTCAGCTTGTGATTGAGAAATACTTTTTTTTCCTCTTCTTGGCAATTTATTTTCTTTGAATTTGTAGGAAGATTAGCATCGTCCGAGAATTCTACACATGTATAAATTTTTAAAATAAGTCGGTGGCTTCTGAATTTCCTGGGAATGAGATTAGCAGGTAGATCTATTCACCAGTCCAGTTCATCTGGCCATAGGAAGGTATGATTAAAAAGACGGGGGGAGAGTCAGCAAGTATTCCATTTTTAGACTGAACAATTGGGCATTTGTCTAGTTTTAGCCATTCTAGCCAGAGTTTTATAATCTTTAAATTTGTCTTCTCTTGTTTTCCTTTTCCCTGAAAAGGAGATTAGGTTCTCTCTAGGATTTCTTCAAAATTCTCCATGCGTTCTTCTCTTTCGAAATTCATTTCTTGATGAAGTGAATATTTTATTTTTTCTTACATGAAGTACACTTCCTGTAAGCATGAATTCTATCCAGTAGACAACAGCTTCAGCAAAAGGGACTTAAAACTTTTTTCACTGAATCTTGGGTAGATTGTTTTTAATTTTTGCCTCATTTTTGTTCTGATTATGCAGTCTGAGGAGTATGTGTATAGCCATTTTTCCCTGTTGGATTCTAATGACCTCCTTTTGCCTCCCTGCTTCAGTCCTGAGGCTCTGTGTTAGCTTGCCCCACTCACCCTTCAGCTAGTCTTTAATACACAATTTGGAGGATTATGATACACCTCTGTTTACAAGATAGTATCCAGAATTGAGTAGAAATTATACCATAAAATCATTATGTTGTTTCAGATCAACAAGCACGCCTTCTCGGGAGGCAGAGATACTATTGAAGAGCACAGGAAGTATGGAGGTAACTGTGATGTTGATGTGTCTTTTATGTACCTGACTTTCTTCCTAGAAGATGATGACAGGCTCGAACAACTGAAGCAGGTAAGCAGCTAAGTTGAAGAAAATATTCATTCCTTATTGTGAGGACAAAGCTGTAACTAAGTCCTCAACAAATCTGTAACTAAGTCCTCCTATCAACCTTCTCCGGGAAGGTAAATGTGTTATTCTTGTGCTTTCCATCCCTTGCAAGTTTCAATATTAAGATCTCTGTATTTGTTTGTTTGCAATGTTCTTCTTTCTCACAGGCCAATCTATCTCTTCTTTTGTTAAAAAAAAAAATAAAATTCCCTAGTATTTTCACAAGGGTCTCCAGCACTGTGTAGGACAGTATCTCCCCTACCTTTCAAATGAGGCCACCTTAGGATTAGTGTTGTTTTAATTGTGTAATACTCTCTGTCTGTTCCTTATGTGCAAGGTACCTAAACACTCTGCAGAACTACAAAAGCTCATGTCTAAAGCTTGCTGGTTTGTTGGGGTTTTTTTTTCTTATCACAAGAAATGTAATAGCTATGAGGAATTGATTCACTGATCCCAAGCAAAAACTGCTTCATATACGTTGCATTTTCCTTAAACCTAACTGGCAGATTTCTGTCCCCAGGGGTGGTAGCAAGACATTTCACTTCCTTCAGCTATGTGATCATCATCGGTCCTAGGCAGTATGTATTCTCTGGAAGACAGTATCCGCAGTTGATAGTACCCATGTCACACTGGTTTATCAGCTTTCTCCTGCTGGGAACAGCTGCAAGAAAGTCAAGAGCTGGAGATTCTTCTCCAACCCTCTGCTGTTTCCCACACAAGAGCAGGGTTGGATAGCTACTAATCCCCATGCAGACTGTTGTAAATTCTTTATGGAAATCTGGACCACATTTGACTTAATGAGCTGTTTTCCATTAGCCTCCAACCAACACTGTCAGCCTATCTCTGCTGCAGAGCACAAAGCCTAGACTACAGCCAGCAGCTTGCTGCAATGCTGCCTCAGAACCAGATTAGAACACATGAAGTCACTGCTTATAGCAGCATTAGTGGACCTGTTTCAGTTATGGTACCAGAGGAGGAAGCTTTAAGAGAAAGTGATATTGGTATTTTTATAACAAACTAACAGATAAACAAACAAAAAAACCCACCCCCAAAAACCACCACTGAAATTACAATTCAGTTCATACTTGTTAACATATTTTACTGTTACTAAGTGAGCATCTGCAACAGCTACACCTTGAATTGGTATTACAAATGGCTTGATGACAAGGGGAGGTAAGACTATCATGTTTATTGCCATTTCAAATCATAACTGAACTGCATCAACCATGGTTTCTAACCAGGGCTGAACCAGTCAGCTGTTAGCCTGTGCTTCTAGCTAAAGCATTTTCAGTATCAGAGCAGCTGAATGAATTACCAACTGTGAATATGACTACTAGTGTGAACATAGATTCTGAGTGTCTTTTCTGTAAAAAGTGTATTTTAATCACATCTTATCTTTTACTCAAATGCAAAGAGAGAAAAAAACAAGAATTTGTACCTCTTATTGAAAAAAACCAGCTTAGGGTGACTGTTTATTTGAACTGGGATTCTGGGGAAAAAAAATATGCAGTTTCCTGCAAATAATTACAGGATTTCCCAGTTAAATTTTTGTGAATGTAGCTTATTCAGTCCATATAACTTGTCACATATGAAATTGCCCAGCTGCCTTAATCTTTTAAAAGGCAACAAGCAATTTTGCAAGTTACATCTTCAGAGTTGATGACATGATCTTCTAAGGTATGTGCTTTTTTTGTAAGACATCCAAATCTGTATTTGCGAGGGCCAGGCTAGGGCCAGGCTTTTAAAGAAATACTTGTCACTGAGATTTTTTCTATATAGTACCATATTTAGCAATCAACACTCTCTTGACAGGCGTACACAAGTGGGGAATTGCTCACGGGGGAGCTGAAGAAAGTGCTTATTGAAACATTGCAGCCCTTGATAGCAGCTCATCAAGAGAGACGGAAGCAGGTCACAGATGAAATGGTGAAGCAATTCATGACTCCACGGAAGCTAGCTTTTGAATTTTGAAGAAATGGGTGTGTAACTTCCCACTTGATAAACCAAAACTGAGTAATTATTGTCTTCTGTTGTATATCACTCCCTGGTTATGTACAGCCTGCAATCTGTGCTTTATAAATACTGCTTTTAATGAGTTAATTACCATGAACATCAGAGTACAGGAGAATTTTAAAATAGGACTTGTATCTGTTTAAAATCAGAATATACAAGAGAGAATTGCCCAGTCTTGCAGAAAAGCATGTCTGTCAGCACAGCATTGTATTTTATTGTATTTCGTGTGGAAAATATAAATAAAACTTCCATTTTGATGATAAAGCCTAAGTTGTAAATTGTTTTAGATAATGTTGGTAAGAGGTCATATCTCAAACTAATAAGTAGTAGCTCCATTTTCTTTTGTCCTGTGTACTTCGGTTTACTAGACTGCATGTCCTTTTGGGCTACTGGGAACCTGCTGCACACCAAAAGATAGTGAATGTTACAAAGTAGATTACACAGTGACTTAGACTTGGGATCAATACAGAAAGAATGGAGATCTGTGAGTTGAACATAGGAGAAAGAATATCGGACTGGTTTTGCTGTCATCTTCCTCTTTGACCTGGGGCAAATCTTAGAAATCTCACTGTACTTTTGTTTCTGCAGCTATTTAACTGGTCTGACTGCCTCTGGAGGAAGGAGGTTATCACAAGGTTGTAAAGTTCCTTCATATTCTCAGGTAGAAGATAGTATAGAAATGCAAATTTTAGTTTCTAGTTATGAAAAATACCAAGTGTTAAATCATGCTATGAAAATTTCACTACTGGACACAGGGATACTTGTAGTACTGTCTGTTCTGTTTTACTGCACCAGGTCATTTAAACTAGGGGTACTTATTTTAAGATGTATTCCAGTAAGAAAATATATTTTGTTAAAATACCTCGTGTAATATTTAATTATCTCCTTTCTTAAAAAGAACTTCAGTGTCTTTGCTGTGATTTATGGAAGAAGAAATCAAATTATTAGCTGATTTGTTTTGATACATGCAGCACTGAATGCAAACTTTTAGATCTGACTTGTATTTATGTAGAATAGAAAGTTGCTAGCCTAGACATAGTCTTATCTATATCAAATAAAAATATGTTTGATAACACAGGTGGGTATTGATGTGTGGTATTTGCAAATAATCTAAAAATATAAGGAAAGCATTTGAATGAGGTGTGAAAGATTTAAACAGTTTCTGTACTGTGGGGCCTAGTGGACATATTGACTGGAGCATTCTTTAAAAGAAAAAAAAAAAAAGAGCACTCAATTTCACTGTAAACCTTTGAAGTCAGCTGATTACACTTGGCTTGAGGGAGAAGTTTCAAGGGTGAGACTTCGCATTGACTTCAGTAGACCTTGGATCAGCCTGTTAGAACATGAGAACGTGCTGGGCTATTTGTGCTGCCTGAAGCTGGTGCTGCTGCCTTCCCACCAGTAGCAGTTCTGTAACACGGCATACACGTCCTCTCCAGCAATGACCTTGCATTTCTGAAATGGAAATACCTGTGTGCCAGGTTGTATATGAAGTAAACCTGTTAGTTTATGTTTGTGCAAGGAACCAAGGAAAAACTGAAATGCAAGGCAAAAGTAGTCCTATTGCATGTGTTTCAAACTTGTGCTGAAAGTAGCAATGCTTAACTTTTGTCTTTACCATTTACGTGAGCTGGCATTGCTAATCTAATGCCATTGACTTTAATGTATTAAAGTCAATGTTTACCAGTGACTGACTCTCTATAACCCACAGACATAGCATCTCAGTGCTAACAAGCTTGGGGTTTTTTGTTTGGGTTTTTTTTTTTTCTTTTTTTTTTGTAAAATGATAGAGCAACTCTTAGGAAAAAAAAACAGCTTCTTAAATCCAGCAGTAAACAAATTAATTCTTGGTTACTTTAGACTTTAATGATGACCTTCCTGTTCTTGCAGTCTACTCTGTCATCTTTAAGTTACACATAAAAGGTAAGACTTAAATTGACTTTTAAAGGGCTTCTACAAACTCATAATGCAAATCTCTTCTTTAAAATATATGCAGATTTGTCCTACAAGATTTCTTTCATTAACTAAGAATTAATTTAGTTATTCAGGAAAGGGAAATATGCTGTAGGAGAAACAGTAATGTGTTCTAACTAAGCATATGGATTAATTTTATAACACAACGGTTACAATCCATTTTGAAAGTTCTAGAAAGGAAAGCAATAGCAAAATTACTTGGTATTTGTTCACTGAGCAAGCACCTTATTCAAGTACTCTGACGAATTCTTACAAACATGCTTCTGAAATTATACAATGTCTCAGAGGATTCTTGGCAAATTCCTAGATCTGTTGTAATTACAATTCATGTCCCAAAGGTATTTAAAAGTCAAGACAAGGCAGTCTTAAAAAGCATGCATGAAATGTCTAAGAATGTTATCAGGCAATGTTCATTATATTTTCCTCAATTTGCTCATATTTTGTTCATCTCACTGTGATAAAAATGTAGATAAAAGTCTGTATCAAACTTTGATTTTACTCTTTTTTTTCTTTTTTTTTTTTTTTTTTTAAGGCTTAGTTTACACTTACTCTATTTTTGACCTCTTTTCCTACCCTTTTAGGTGTTGATTTAGTCATCTGATGAAGCTGGTCCCGGTCTTGATGTCCAGTGCCTTTCAAGTAGTGAAATAGGGTGCCTTATAACCCCCTCTAACCAGTCCTGCCAGGTGGGCTTCAGATTGTTCCCAGAGCAAGCTAATAAGGGTCAGTTGTCCAAAGACGAACTGGTTGCAAGCAAGACTGGATGTTGAATTTCGCTATGTACAGCAGCCAGCTCAGAAACAGGGGGAGGTCAATGTGACCCGTTTACAATGACGCTTCAGTAGATTTGGCGTAAAGACTGGTACTTAAGTGGAAATACGATACTCCACGATCGCTGTTGTTTGAAGAGCACAGGTTCTGAATAGCTTCACGTGGCTCTTCCACAGTCACCAAGAGGCATGCTGAAACCTACTTGGATATTCATAAAGGCTGTCAGAGTAAACAGGAACTATCAGCAACATGAAAACATGAAGCAGAATATGCCTTCTAAAGAAAATTTTCTTTTTTTCAAGGCCACCAACTTTATTACTGAAAGAAATCATCTATACAACAAGCTGGAGTCCCTATAGCAAAGTAAACCCAGTATCAGCACAGCACACATGATGTCTTCATTCTGTTAGCTGGCCTTCAGCTAGCTAAGTTATTGTAATAAATAGTTCTGTGATTATCAGAGTAGCTGAGAGTCAGGGTAATACAAAGAAATCAGAAAACAAAGCGGTCAGGTTCCAAAATCCAGAAGCCAAACACCCAGCTTGGTGTGTATGTAGTGAAGTACATAGTATGTACCATGTGCCATGTCATTAAACAAAAATTGGTTCATATTTATGTGCCTGTGTTTACAGTACTTACACAGTCAATTCCAGTACCTGTTGGTAGCTTGTATTGGTATGAATTAGCTGTGAGTTCTTGCTCTAAGGCAGATTGCCACCCATACACTGTGTATATATTGTTTTTTTCCAGTAGAGGGTTGTGAACAGAATGGATCGCAAAGCAATTACCTTCCTCAAATAAGCTGCCTGGAGATACAACTTGCTTCTTGTATAGCATTTGTTCAGACCACATGAGAACCTGCTTTTCTATGATGTTGAATACCCTGAGGCTTACAGTTCTCAGCCCCTCTCACTGGCTTCTGCAGTTGTTCCCACTCATTTTTACAATTTATCTGTAATTCCTGTTCCTTGAAAGCAGCTGTATTTCAGTTGCACCTACAGGAGGAGACATTTTTAGTCATCTGAATGCAGGAGCCTATTAGGAAAGCTCAGCTACTTTATTTTCAAACCTTGGGCTGACCATGGATGGTATCAACACTGTCTAACAATAAATGGTTGTTTAGTCTGATTTGCAGGCATTTTTTTTACTGTCTCTGTTCACAGGATGTAATGCCTGAGAACAAGGTCAGCTGAGAATAATACAGCATCAAGGAGTTTGATTCCAGAAAACATCCAGGCAGAGCTGGGATAAATCACTACCCAGCTGGGACAGCACTCAGTTAAATGCATCCCTTGTAGAAAGAGGTGAGGATAGTAGACTCTTAAGAGCCATCTTAAAAGGAATTCCAAATCTTGAGGACTTAATTAAATCTTCTGTTGTAAGGACTTTCTGACTAAAGGAAGTTTGATGCTGATGCCCCAAGATGTAACTGGGGCTGGTAGGTTGCTGAGGCCATAAGCAATTTGGGAGAGAATCTGGTTTGGTGTTGGGTCTTTCATTTCACTCCCCTTTAAGGTGAAATACTCTGCACCTGCCTGGTCTTTTAACCCTGCCCTTCGATCAGCTGCAAGAGCTGGGTAGACTCTTGAGAGAAGAATTCTGATGGTTGTTTGATAGCATGCCTGTGAACATGTTTAAAAAGCCAGTTGAAGGTTTAGATTTCAGGAGCACAGTTCTGGAGCTTTTTACTGGTCTTTGTCTGGACTGGAAGGGGTCCCCTTTATTCTTTTCTAGTAGCACCTGAAATTTTTACACTTGTTGTTCTAGTAGAAGATTCTTTTTTATATGTCCGAGGTAGCTGACAAGTCCTGTCTGCTGCAAAATTACTGTCAGTGTAGTCAAAGCCATGCTATCAACTGGTGAAAGTGGCTGTGGACCAGAAGGGCGTCAACCCTGAAGATGAGAGCTCCTTTAAAAATATAATCTTCCTCTTTCCTTCCAAACAATGCACTTTCAGCAGAATCTGAGAGGGGCTGGATCCAGTCTGCTCCAGATGTCATCATCCAGGGAGTAAAATGGAGACAGAAAAGATGCATGTCACTCTGGAGGCAGAATGAGCAAATTAAAGTATTTCTGGGTTTAGGGGTTTTCCTTCTGAAGCAATAGTGTGGGTGTCGTTTTTTCAACTGACACGTTGATGAAACTTTATACCTTTGTGAAAAATAAATTATTGTTAGGAAAGTTGGACATTCTTTCAAAATGACAAAAAAAATTGACAAAAAAACATTTGGCTGCTCCTAACAGCATAGTTTAAACGGAGTATGCACTTTTTACAAGTTGTAAATCAATTATACTCTACAACTTTGCAATTCTCCTTTAACTTGCCTAACCCTGCTAGTGCACAGATTTTATGGCAGCCTTTCCTTTGAGAAACAAAGAGGTTTTGCATCTATTCCTACCCTCCTTCCAGGATGAGAACAGATTGCCTCCAAAGCTGTGCCAAGCTCCAGAGAGCTGCGGTGCCGTCAGCCTGCGGGGGCAGACTGATGCTGTAGGGCTCAGGGTTGCAGAGCAAGAAAATCCCATGGTTTACAGGAACCGGGCCTGGTTTCACTTTCAATGAGGCCATTAGCAAGAAGATTATGTAAACAGACCATGTCTGCCACTCATTAAATAATGACAGGAAAAAGCAAGGAAATTCATATTTCAGCTGCTGCCAAAGGGATATAATTGTAGAGTACTTTGGGAAAATTACAACTGGGAAGGAAAAGTTGCAGCCTGAAGCACAAATATGTAAGTTACTCAGTGAATGCAGTACCGGCATTACATATAAAAAGCACATGCTGGATAGTGTTAAATCTTACACAAACTCCCCTCAGCTCTTGCCTTGGTTGTGAAGATCGTTTTCTGTGCCAGTAGAAAACAAAATGAATCCTTTATCAAAACCTCCGATCAGACTAGCAGCTTTTTAGAACATAAATATTTGCAAATGTTTCAAGGGCCTAAGCAGCGGCTACAGTCTAAATACATTAATGAGATAAAAGGGAGGTTGTATATAAGTCCAAGACTCCCTGATGAGTTTGTAATCCTATAAGAATAAAACAAAGCTGTCAGTCATCCAGCTTTGTGCTGAAACATCCGTGCTTCTTACGCTGTCCATCAAAGGAGATAGATAGCATTCAGCAGTTCTTTGTGGATGTCGTGATATAAAAAAAAACTAAACAAAATAAACCTCTGAACAGAGTGGCACGAGCTATTTTTTGTTTGTATAATGATCTGTAAATCTCAGTACAGCTTCGTACGAAACAAACACCACCATGTTCACAGGAAAGGCACGAATGCAGTTTAAACCCAGTCCTTTGAAAAGCACTTTTGCACCCTCCTTTCTCACACTTTCCCTAACACAGTGGACAAGGCCTTTGTATTTATGCTGGTCCGATTCATCTGTTTGCATCCGTGATTTGATGACATCCATGGGAGTAGCTAATCCCCAGGCCAGGACTCCAGCGAAACCACCAGAAAGCAGCACAACGAGGAAACCTGCAGGCGAGAGTGAAGGGAGGAGCAGTTAACTCGAGCCTTGCACTCAAACGACTACAAGCATCTCAGATTTGTCAACTAACTTTGTTAACTTCCATGTTTTTCAGCAGCTATTTTGTCCAGTTCTTGCAGTTGTGTGTTTCCAGGGACCTCACACACACACTGTGCGGCCTCTCGATTTCACAGCATACTCATTTTTGCCTACATGATACCTCTAACACCGCGCAAACTAGGTGTGATGCAGCCTGAGACTCTCTTCAGCTGGATCTACTTATTTTTATAATTCTCAAGGAGATGCTCTTTGCTGAATCACCTATGTGATGTTTTCTCAAAGTGGATAGTTCTTTTTTGGAGCCAAACCACAACCAGGAAACTTAAGTCTTTACATTCTGCACCTGGACTTTATTTTCAAGCTCTGGACTGACCCTGATCTGTGCTCCCTGATGGCTCCTGGGAGGTTTGTCCATGTTTCATTTCTAGTTACATATCCTATTTCTGCATTAAGAGGACTTCATACCCACATACTAGGCACCACAGCGTGCCATAAACACCCTCTGGCAGGGACAGGAGTAGCTGCTGAGGGACAAGGTGGTGTTGGCAAAGCCCTCGCACACCGGCTGCTGCCGCCGGTGCCTGGAAGGCACAAACAGGAAACACCCAGCAACCCTGTGCAAGGACCAGAGCTGGGTGAGGTTTATAGGTACTGGGTGATGTTGGCTGAGAGCCTGATTTCCCCCTTAGCATGGTACTAAATAAGTCATTTTTGCAGGCAATGCCAGATGCTTTCCGATACCTACCTGGTTTGTTTTTACCAGCTGGTGTGAGCCAGTCACACAGAGCAGAATAGGTAAGGAAATATATTGCAGAAGAAGAGCAATCTCTGCAAAGTAATGCAGAGCAGCCCTTGTAGAGACCCACAAAACCTTCCTCCTTGGCGATCATGTTCAGACAGTGCAGAGACCCTCGGTACTTTGGCTTGGAAACAGGCTGGGGAGATGCGATGGAAGGATATGGGTTCCTCTGAGTCTGCATGCGAACTTTAGCCACTTCACTAGGGGTCATCAACACAACCTGTAACATCAGAGGATGGTATTTTAACCCTTCACATTTATACAGTGTCTTGATCCCCCTCCTGCTAACTCCGTCTCCCACCTTTTCAGGCAATAATATTGCCTGAAGCCAGCAAGTTCCAGCCTCCTCCTCTCTGTCTGTGCTAAATCCCATCCAGCAGCAGCAGGACACACCTGCGAGCGGCACTGTGCAGAATGGAAGGCAAAGCAGAAATCAACAGAGGATGTTAAATACCTGTAACAACTTGTTAAACCAGATGGGCATGAAAAGGGGATATCCTCAGCTATATGGTAGCATATATCAAGGCTGTTATATGTATCTGTATTTGGAGCCAAGGCCATAAAGACTTTAAAAAAATTAACCTGTGTTAAGTAGAGTCGTTGCCTGCTAGGAAAGCCCTAGAACCCTGACCATCTGGACTGCTCTGTAAGAGGATTGCCTGTGACCCGGCATGCATTTCTGCCCAGCATGCCACCAGGGCAAGCTCCGCCACGTTCGCAGCGCCTGCAGACGCTCACAGAAATCCATCTGCTTATGGGAAACTGCTCCTGGATTCAGCCTCACCTCTCCTCACCTCCCTGTCCTGCGATCATGCATGTTTGCCAGGTAGCGTGACTTCCCAGTGATGCCCCATTTCGTTTTGCGTCCCAACCAGGCAACACTGCGTACTGCCCGTTTCTACAGCGATACCGTGCTGGGCTTGTGCAGCCACTGTCAAAACACTGGCGTGTGCTTTAAAACACTGAGTTATGTCTTTTTTACATAAACATACCATCAGAGCCACTCGGAAAGTTTGCTGCCCAGGTTGTTTTTTTCTTCCTTTTTCTGCGTTTGCTGCCAAGGTCTATGTCATTCTTATTAGCGTGTTCTTAAGTGTTTTGGCACTCTAAACCAAATCCAGCACGAGCTGCCCGGCAGGACTCGACCACGGTGCAGAGCCGACCAGCGAGAGGGCAGCACAAGCAGAGCTTAAGCCCCACCCCGTGCAAAAACAAACCCACCAGGCTTGTTGCAGGCTCCCCTGTGGCCTCCCAGACAGAAAAAATTCACTGCTTTTCCAGCCTCCTATGTTTGTGAACAAGATCTCTTGTTGTGCTTTCCCTTTCCGCTGTTTGCCTACCCGGACAGCACCAGCAGCACCTCCGGCAAGAGAAACATCCAGCTTGGACGGCTTCACATCTGCAGCCCCATATCGCAGCTTGCAGATGGTACAAAGGAAGTTTTTGTACATGCCAAACGAAACAGAAGAAATCACTGATACTGTGAGGACTGATGCAGACACACCTTTGTAAAATCCCCAAACCTAGTTGGAAACAGGAAAAAGAACACTTTTAAGAGGGAATGGCATGGGAAAGAATTTGCTTGAAAACACTGGCCGTACATTGCTGAGCCAAAACTTACTGCCATCTTACAGCTCATTGGCAAAGCTAAATTTCATCGTGACCCTTGTCCCAACTGATGGTTGTATGTCACTGCTGCCCATCCTCCCCAAACTGACAGAGGGAGCTCTGCTTCTCTGAAACAAAGCATCCGTAACTGGTATCAGCAATTCTGATGAGAGGTACCTACTTTTTCTGTCCTGTATGTTTCCTGAATGCAGTGCCAAATTCCACTGTAATGCCTTTCAGTCTGAATTCTCACCTAGGAATACAGGGGCAACTTTAAAATGCAGGTATCAGATAAAATAAAAAAATAAATCAACAAATGCCATAGCAGCAAACCAGATAATTAGCCAGAAAATAGCATCATCAAACAAGTTACTTTTTTTTTTGAGAAAAACAACACAACCAAATAAAGTGAAATATATTGATGTAACAAAGATGAAAGCAATGTCATGGGACTAGTTTTCTGAAAAGGAGGGGGAAAGCAAAAGGACCTGTTTGTTTTCAGTGTGTAGTCAAGAATTAAAGCTCCAACAAGTACCTTCACTGTGTCCAGCGGATAACCCACTGCTGTGCTTAGACCACCTGAAACAGAGAGTGTATTGGAGATGGTTAACAGCACATGTCACGCCAGACCATTTTCCCCCATCACAGGAAGGCATTAGGGGAACAGCAGAAAAGTGCAGCTTCAGAGCCCTACCGTGCTTCGCACCAGACCACTCTCGAGCTCCAGCAACAATGTTTGAGCCAAGAATGACAGAGCAAAATGCACAGATTTCTCTGCGTGACCAAGGCACACTCAGAGGAAGAATCTGAGTGTCATGGGAAACTTATCAGGAGGAATAACACCATGGTGCAAGCTGGGACTGGGAGAAACACTGAGAGCACTGCTGCAGGAAGGTTGATGGGATGACTTGTATGATACCAGACTGGCTTTGTTCCCCCTCTCAGCTTAGACAGTAAAGCATCTTTGACCTATGACCAAGCACCCTCATGTGAGGTGCAGAGCATCCTACTCACATAAGAGGGTCTACGGAGCAATTTTGGTTCTCCAGCTTGACTTGGAAATATTAAAGAATAAATCGGTGGTCACAAGGACATCTAGAAAAGAGAGGTGGTCCTCATGCATTACAGGTTCTCAGCAATTTCTCTTGAAGACAGGAGAGGTACTCCTGCTGCCTCCTGCATAACAGGGACTGGACATGTCCTGGCTGAGGCTTACAAAGCACATCCAGAGCCCTGGGTGAGGAATTCATTGGGCATTAGAGTCCACAGCACCATGCTGGATTAAGCGTCTGAAGTGCATCTCCTACATGCACCGAACACTGCTGCAAAAGCAGAGCAAGGAGCAAAAGCAAAGGCTGCTTGGAGCCCTGGCAGGCCGGTGTGATGCCAGGGCACAGCACAGCCGGCAGCGCTGCGTTGCAGTGAGATCACCTGCCCTCCGCCGCTCGGGACTCAGCAGGATTAAGGGGCAGGGAAGGATTAGTGCCGGGCCTGTGCAAAGCCAGCGCGCTCAGCAGCACACCCCGCACGCCAGCTGACCACGACTCCCTGCCTGCGGCAGTGATGGCACATCCAGCGTGCTGGGGGGCTTTGTCAATCCCCTGTCAACACTCAGGCTCATTTTGAGACCTTAAAATAGCCGCCGGAGTTGGAAACACATTAATCCTATGAGACAAAGTTACTGTCTTAATGGCAGATAAGGAGAGCAAAAGAGCTCCAACATGGACTTCTCTTTGTCGCAGTAACAAATAGATCACCCACCATCCCTGCCCTTACCTCACTGCATTTCTCAGCTCTGCTCTAAATGCATCTGTTGGCAGATACAACAGATGATAAAGGGGCTGACCAGCTAACTTCCTCCCAGTACATCAACTGCCAAGTCATCTCAGAGGAAATCAGGCTGGGGAATGATGGAGCTGTATCCATGTGAGTTATTTAGGCAGAGACTGAGTTCATAAAAGTGCTGGATGAGCCCTTCAGGGAGCCAGGCAGTCACAGATACAGTGCACATTTGGTGGCTCACGGGTTGGAAACTGCCACTCATTGAGTCCTTCTTTAAAAAAAATAAAACCCAAGATACTTAAAAATGAGTTAGTTGCTGTGGGCATTTCACTAGTTCTCCTGTGATTACACAGCTGCTTGGGAGCTCTGGAAAGCTCTGCTACGTTTTTGCAGAAAAGAGCAGCTACTGGTGACTCACCAGCAGACAACCCCAAAGTGCATTACTCAGAAGGAAACAACCAACAGCATCTTGCTTGCAGAAAAAGGAGGTTTGTTTTTCAAAAATCTCTATCAAATCTGCCACCAGATAAATAGCAATGAAGATGAAAAGTCGGCCAGGAAGGCACATTCTGTATTTCAAAACCAAATTGAGATGATGCTGGAAGAGAGATGACAAGGGGGAATACACAGGCAGAGTAGCACGGCTCGAAGGGGCAATGACTGTGGTCCGAGCAGAGAGTGACAATGCATAAAGTCACCCAGGGCCACCTGCACTGTCCCAGGTTCCCAGCCATCAGCCAGAGGCAGACTGCAAACACGGACCCCGCCAGCCAGGGAAGAGCAGCACGTAAGTCAATGTCAGCGTGACAGTGCTGACCTCAGAGGTGCAGTCCCCTGACCCAAGCACCCTGTCCCAGCTGGGAAGATTTGGCATCACATCGGTTTCAGATTCCCTGAACCTTAGAGGCAGCAGACATGGGCTGACCAGATGCTCGCGACTCAGGGGCACTGTGTGCCTTGCACAGCTAAGCCCTGGCTTGCTCCACCAGCTCAGGAAGGGAGGAGCCTTGGCTCATGCACATGAGGTACCAAGGCAGATTTGGGTCAGTGTTTTACAAGAAGTGTCCTCCTTTCTGGAGAAATTGCCCTGTTCACACATTAAAATGCAGAGACAGCAGCAACATAGCCAAAATAAAGCAGGTTTGCCCCAAAACAGCCTGTTTCCTATTGCTTCTCAGTCCTAAGTTCTCCCACTCAACTTGGTTCCAGCAAGGACCAAACATCTCCACTTAGGAGAAGACCATAAAGGTAAATTTTTCACTGCTCCGACCAAGGTGAAGATGTGAGCCCCTCAAACCTCCAAACAACTACAACCTGCCATGAACTGCGCTCCTTAAGAGCCAAAGCACTTTGAGCAGTTAAGTAGTCAGAGCTGAGGAGCTCACCAAGTCCCTCAAAGGCTGAGGAAGAAAGGCTGTGCACAATGTCACGCAATATAAATAGCTTGGGACAAAGATAGCATGACCCACACATGCCCTGTTTGCACAGCAGAATTGAACAAGGCCAGCAATGTATAGCACGCATACAGGAGAGGGTTCCTGTGGGGCTCCCGCTGAGTAACACTGCACCAGCTGTGACAAAAATAGACAGCAAAATCAAGTGAACAACTTTTGTTGGGTTTAGCGAGGCATTTTTTATGCCTGCTTTATCTATCTGAGATGTTCTTAGGTATTGTGCAGAGGTTGCAGCATCCCCTACGCACACACACAGAGTGCAGGTACAAAACTGGATTACTGACAGTCTCTTCAGGAGTCAGGCCACTTCCACCAGGCAACTCAAATAAGGAGGGGTCCTGGCAGGGCGGCCACCGCAACAGCAATCAGCAGAGGGCAAGCAGCAGACATACAGAGCCTGCCAGGCTGCAACAGCCCCAGGACATTGGCAAACACCTGGCTGAGAGACACAAGGAGAAGCAGGGATCATGGTCTGTACGCTGAATGGGTAAACAGCAACTTCCAAAGACTTTTGTTTTGTGAAGAGCTGGGAACATAAGAAGTGCCCCATACCCAGTAACGTGACCCTGGCAGTGGCCAGCAGGAGCTGCTTTAGCTGTAAGGACAAGGACACAGCATGTTCCTTCCATAGGTGGACTATTTTATCTACCTTTGGACTGCATGTGACTGTTGTGTAACCTTGCAGCAAGATGTGGAGAAGCCCGGGCATGCTGCGGACCCTGCTGCTCTGTCACCACAGCATGAATCTCAGCTTCCCCTTCCCAAATCTTTACATCTGGCATAAGAGTCAAGTCATCCCCTGGTCGTCAACAGCCCTTAATGATCAATACCCACCTCCTGTGATGGCCCAGGCTGCTGCTGCAGCAGGGCTAGAAAATGGATCATAGGATCATAGGAAAATTCAAGTTGGAAGGGACCTCAGGAGGTCTCTAGTCCAACCTCCTGCTCAGGTTTATTGGCTAGGAGGGGCATCCTTACAGATGAGCTGCTTTCCACAACTTCCCACCCCATTTGGTGGTTATTGAAAGTGTCCACAGTCACCAAGTATGTTTCTCTCACTTTTTTTTCCATCTGGAGTCACAGCAGGTCACTGTTTCCTGGGCTGAACATGCTGAGCTTGTCCCATGGCCATAGAAGCAATAGCTCAGAAAAGATGCACAATATTTGTGCAGGTGCCTGAGGCAGGCTGGATCATTACATGGGATTCAAAAGGGAAGCATCTCTGCTGTTTTTCAGAGGTGCTTAAGCCATGCTTTCTCCAAAACACTCTGAAAACAGATCAAGGTCATGAGACTGTAATTTACTAAACAGAAACTCTGTTATTATCTGTGTTGCCTCTTGAGTTGTTTGATGCACTTCAGTTAGGTTTGTAGCCTCCTTAGGAAAACAAAACCTGCTTCAGCTCTAGCAAACCTAAGCCACGAAATAAGCCCAGCACCAAAAACATCCCAGTTCTTGCAGGAAAGCTGTCCAACCCCTGGAAGCTCTCCCATGTTGGGGTAAGGACCATAGTCCTGAAGCCCTGCCCAGGCATCTCGCACATGTCTGTGTGCAAGCTCCCAGCAGGGAACAGCATGCCAGAAAACACCTCTGTCTGCCAGTGAAAAGTTGTATTATCCCTCTTAGAAAAGCTCTGAGCTGGACACAGATGACAGGACGGAAAATCTTTCTCTCTGGCACCCTAAGGTCACTAAAGTGCCTTAAAATAAGCAAAGACATTTCTGATCCCAGCTGGAGCTGCCGAGCCTGCATCCTCCCAGGCCGAGCCTGTTTCCAGGGCACCCATGGGAGACGTTGCTGTGTGGCTGGGCAACACATGATGCTGGTGCTTGGACAAGGGGGCACCGCAAAAATCATGGCTTTGCATGGGGGCGGGGGCAGAATGCTGAGGTCAATGGCCACTTTGAAACTGTGGCCACTTTTCAACGCTCCACGTTCCCTTGCAAAACAAGTTTATCCTTAAGTGGCCCAGCTCCAGCTGTGCCAACAAAAGCAAAGGAGTTCGAGCAGTGAACACAATCATCGCTGCCCCACCATTAACATGAAGTCTTAGAGGAATTTTGGTGAATCCTTTTGGGATGGACACCCATTGCCAGCCCCAGCACAGGGCTCCCATCTCCACTGGGTGCTCTGAATTCAGCAAGGAAAGAGGCAAGCTGTCATCAAGGGGTTGGTTATATCCCCCTCTCCACTGAAGGGTCCTTCCTGAGCAGGGTGCCACAGCACACCAGCAAGGCCAACACCCCAAGCAACAGGTACCTCCAGGGCTGGATGCCACTGAGATGCCAAACCTCAACTCACTTGTACATTTTGGGTGATGAGCAGTAAGGGGCTGCAGGGTAAAACTCATTGTGGTCCTTACCAGGAAATGGACATCTGCACCAGGACCACAGGCTGCTCCTGGTGAGGGAAACTGCCGAATTTCAGCAGATCTCAAAGTGAGATCTGACATGCCGCCTTGGGCTGGGCGTCTCAGCCATCCAGCAGGTTTACCTGGCCTTTCTGGCAGCGGCAACCGCAAGGCTCTTGTCTTAGTATTTGATACTTGGCTAAATCTGACAAGATTTCAGAAAAGAAATTAGACCAGTGGCTACATTTTGTTGTTTAAAACAAAACTGGTTTTGAGCAGTACATGCTCTAGAAATGTCTAGATTTAAATCACACTTTTCTCCTTTTACTTTTTTTGTATACGGCTAACCTACTTTCTCCCAGATCAAAGCCTGCTACGCACCATGCCTGCACTGAAATTACTGTCACAACTGCAAATACATCTTAACCTAAGATAATGCAAAGGTCGTTCATTCAGACCTTCTTCACTGCAACAAAGCCATGCGTCCACCCCTCCTGTCTCACGAATCACACCCTCAGCCCTCCAGAGCCATGACCCCGACAAGCCCACCAGTACCCTCAGGCACCAGACATGTGAGGTTTTGCTGTCTGGGCAGTACTAGCCAGTTTGTACCTACACACAACATATCCTGCGTTGTCTTTTCCTATCAGAGTTTTGCCCTGTCCCGCTGCAATTAGACTGGAGGAGATTGCAGGGCAATGACCTCAGCCGACCAAATTGCAATGCTGCCTCTCCAGTAGCTCCGTGAACCTGCTCTGATGACATTTTCCATTTAATAAGGAAGAATGCACTTTTAACAAGCAGACCCTGTCAAAAGATTCTCAGCTCTGCCATGGAGACCTGCCAATTAGCTGAACAAGAATGAAACACAGCAATCTGCTTTCATCAACAAGCACTACTTTACGTATTTACCTCCAATGGCCCCGGCAATGAAATCCATCCAGACTGAGTCTGCTGCCTTAATTACCCTGATTAAAAGTTAGGGAGGTAGAAGAAAGGAGGATACAGGTTTGATCTTTCTGGAGCCCTGCAAGTCCTTCGGAGAGAGTGTGATTTGCGATATGGATCGCCTTCCTACTGTCTTCTCTTGCCTCTGAGGATTGTAAGCCTCGTGGATACTTGATGAATTTGTACACTGGAGGCACAGACGGGAAGCCTGGAGCTGTTCCAGGAACACAGTGAATAAGTAATCCTGTGAAGCCCTGTAATGCTGCACCGGAGCTGCTGTTCCCAGTGCTCTTCTGCTTGGAAAATCACAAGGGGTGGTGCCTTGCAGGGTAACGCTAGCTGTGAAGGGGCCATTCCGTGTTGTACTTATTAACCCCAGAAGACAGCCTGGCACTCTTGTTTACCAGAGGACACCCTTGCCCTGCGCCGTGGAGAAGTGGCACAGGTGGTTGTGCATGAGATGCCTCCTCCCCCCTATCCCAGTACATCCTTCCTCCTTCTGATGGAGCAGATCCCCTTTCCATCAAGGAAAATTCATTGTGCCCTTCCCAAGGAATTTTCCTTGGCTTTTCTAACCCACAGAGCTGACCCTAAACCTCTACCCAGATCCCCACGGGTTATTACCTGCTCATTGTGCATACATGTGGTGAAGCTCAGAAATGAATCCAGCCACATACAAAGCGTTTGCTTCCCTTTCAGACCACAGGGTAGTTCTCCCAGCCCCTGGAGCAGCTCTGCTTCTCTTCTTGCTCAGTCTCTCAGCTCCCGTTCCAATGTCAGCTCCTTGCTGAGTTCAGCAGAGGAGCAGGAATCATGATTGTTGCTGCCCATACTCCAGTGTTTTGCCCTGCAGGGAAGCTGAGAGACTGTTTTTGCCAGGAGACCTAGGTCCAGCACCTAATTTTTTCTTCCTAATTTACATGCAGCACAGGGTGGTGATCTCAGCAGGGGAAAGAGAAAAGCACAGAGAGAGATCTGCTGATCAAGGGGACTCAAGAGCTCAAGAAAATGCCATATTGCCTATTTTTGCACAACAGCCCTGTACCAGAGGGCTGCCCCATCTACCCAGGAGAAGTTAAGTTTTGCCCAAAGTGAACCTGGAAACCAAAGTCCTGATGCAGTGAAGGGCTTGCCAAGTCGTGACCTGAATTGTACTCCTCTTGAAAAGGTTTGCCCGGTTCAGAGCCAAGGCACATCGGCAGCCAAGGGAAAAGGAAATTTTGCAGCTGCTGCCTGCTTAGGTCAGCTTCACAGAGACGCTGAGGACTTTATTCCCCAGTGCTGTCTCCCGCACATTTCACAAGACCCTATTTCTCGGTGAAGTGCATATTTTGGATGGGCTGATGTGTCAGTGACACATAGCACAGTTCAATGTGAGGGCTCAGAGTTCCAGGGAACTGAAAATTAAAGGGTGTTTAGCAATCTGCCTCCCATAATTTCTTACACATCCTCCACTGAACACTTTCTGCACTGGAAAGAACAGTTTATTCCAGTGTAACATCATGCAAGGACAGCAAAAACTTAAAACCAGAAGTAAAATATTATCTAGAGAGATAGCAATGTAGCTGCTAAAACACACTGGGTTATTCAGTAGCCCTTCCTTGTTACACCTGATGACCATCCAGGAGTTATTAACGGTTCGTCAATAGTCTGTAGGTGCCAAGTGCAGGGAAAGGTGCTGTTTCCACTTCTCCCACCAGCCATTCCTGGCTCCTGTCCTTGCAGGCCCCCTCCAGCAGCAGGACGGGGTGTGGGACCTGCTGTGTCAGTGACACACGGGGACAAGGAGGCAGTCCCCTGCGGACGGGCACTCCGGGAGCCTACAGCCTCCTGGTTCCCACAGGGATCGGGCAACCTGCCGAGCCGCTCCGGCCGGCGCTGCAGCAGTCACCGCTGCCTTTGGGACCACTGTTCAGATACCACTGTTTAATACTGCTTTTTTGGGAGCTGCTTCCAGGCAAAGTGAAGAAATTCGTTATATTCCCAATATGAGAGGGTCTCCATATATTCCCTACCATCATATGGCTGGGGGTGTCATGTGGGGGGGATTTTTCTACATATTGCAGTGACTGGTGCAACATTGGCAAGAAAATATAGACTGACTGGTCTGTCACACTGGCTGAGTAAAGTGCTGGGGGTAATAGCTATTTCCCATGAAATGTCACAAGACTAAGCAAAATTTCTACCTTCTTTAGCTAAGCTGAACAGCTCAAAAGGAATCTTCTTCAGGAAACCTTCTGAGATTGTGGGAAAAAAGAAAAACAACCAACCCAAATACCTTCCCTCTGCAACAGAAAATTAACCCTTTTTTATTATTTTAACCTTCATTCACACCAACGCTTCTATCAAAATATTAGCTTGCTTTACATATCACAAAGCTGACTCCAGATTCAAGCATTTTGAAAACCTTCTGATAGGGGTTCAGGTCACTTCAATGAGGTATACCAGGAGAAGTCACGTTTTCCACTTGACTGGAATTGCTTTGCAAACAGAGGTCGTTCAGAAGGCAGCCATCTGAAAGCAGAATATTTTGGGGCTTGAGACGTTTCACCTTGTCCCATGAAGGTGTCACTAGGGGCAGCCGGTTCCAGAGGAATGCACGCACACAGCCTGATAGGGGTTCAGGTCACTTCAATGAGGTATACCAGGAGAAGTCACGTTTTCCACTTGACTGGAATTGCTTTGCAAACAGAGGTCGTTCAGAAGGCAGCCATCTGAAAGCAGAATATTTTGGGGCTTGAGACGTTTCACCTTGTCCCATGAAGGTGTCACTAGGGGCAGCCGGTTCCAGAGGAATGCACGCACACAGCTACTTTCGGGGCATTTGCCTCGATGGGGGCTTAACAGGCTAACACCAGCCCCGAGCAAACACAGTCGCCGCTACTGTAGCCTCCAGTCCTTTGCTCCTGGTGTCTGGCTGGGACTTAGAGGCAAATAGCATCCACCGCCATGATCATCAGCAGTGTATGACCCGCTCAGCCCAGCCGCCATACGACGGCAGTGAGGGCAGAGCCTTCTGGAAGAGGAGACCTGTGCAAGTGTTGAAGTGTGCGCACATAAGCAAGTACGGGGGAAGGTGTAATTCAGCGTGAAGGACACCTCGTCTGAGAAGTGAAACCTGTGTTACTTGCTGGCATGCCTCGAACAGTACAGAGCAACTCCCCACTAAAGACAGCAATCCTACAGACGCAGAGTCCTTAAGGTCTCACTGTCCTTCATGCCTTTATTCATCCCCTCTTCCCCAGATTTCAGAGATATGCCACATCTCAGATACCAGGCTCATTAGAAACAGAATCAACAGAGACAGACCAAAAAATCCAGCCCAAAGACATCTTGAATTACCAAGATCTTCAAGATCAAATATGAGTCATTCCTGACACCCTTTGACACAATATCCAAGGACTGACAGAAATCACCACTAGTCCAGCTTGCAAAGAAACACCATGATCCACATCTATGCAGGGATGAGTGAAAGTACCTGGTCTCAACCCAGGTGGTCTTCTCAAAGCATGCCCTAGGAAATGACACCTGAAATGCATGCTCTGAGCCTCCACAAGGGACAGTCCTCCACTAGAAATAACTCACAAGCCCTTTCCTCCAGTAGCAAACTGTTTAAGAGCAATTTGTTCAAAATGGGTGAATTTCATAGGGGCTTTTGAGAAAGCAGAGTGTGGATGGTGCTGTCGGATGAAAAGACAGACCTGACGATGTGAAGCAATCTGCAGGAAATCATGAAACTAAGTGACAGAAAGGCAAGGAAGGCCTTAATTATGCACAGTGTGTGATGGATGAAACACTCCATTTGCTTCACAGGAGGAGGCAGCTCTCTGCCCACCCAGGCAGAGCGAACTGCTCCATGGCTAAAGCAGCAGTGGGGTTAGAGGACTGGCACAAATGTATGGAGCAAAAGGAAAGGTGGAGACTTTAGGTAGGTAATCAATGTTAAATAACGTCCTTTAGGTGAGACAAAAAAGCAGGGGCATTCCTTTGCCCCTCTCCTTCCACAGCTCGCTCCCAGGACATTACCAACTCCATCCATCCTGCAAAGTGAAAAAGAAGTTTGTCCTCTCTTGCCTCTGCAACCACCTGCTAGCTTGTCAAGCCAGATTTGCTGAGAAAACGCTCCTGCCTCATTCCTTGCCACAACATGCTGTGTTTTCTATTCCCCTTGCACTATGTGATATCACACTCACATGCATACCCATTAATTCCCGTACAATTTATTTCAGAAAAATCCTTGACTGAAGAGACTGTTCAAACAGCGTTACCCCGCTACATCACGGGGCTGTTTGCACATTGCGGAACATGACACCAGCAGTGCTGAGCTGGCAGAGCCTGGTGCTTGGCGTGAGTGATGGTGGGTGGAGAGGGGAGTGGAACCTCCTGGCTCCAGCTGTGTTACAGATTTTCAAATCAGACTGTCTCATTGTCCTTTATCTCAGGTACTAATGGAAAACCAATAATTCCAAGGACTCAAACATTAGCAGCACGAATTTCACAGCTAAACAAACAAAACCGGTAAGGAAACCCCTCTGAGCGTTGGTAACTGCATCACTTTTAGCCAGGTATAAGTGATCAGTGATTTCACCTCTGGAAAGCTGATATGAGGTTGTAATGTTTCTACATGCATTTCCAAGGGAAGGGGAAAATAATACATTTCCAAAGGACTGAAGATGATTGCAGTAATTTAAGAAGTGACACAGTTTTTCTGGCTTTGGGCAAGTCACTCAAACTCCCTATACCTAATCTCCTCATCAGCACAACCAGTCTGCTGTTTGTCCACTGCCATGAACTCCCTGCAAGGATTCAGGCACTTCTCAGAGAACCACAAGTCTCTCTTCAGGGGTAAATCATGGGAAAATGTGGAAGTAGCAACAGTAGCGCCCACCTGACACAAACATCCATGTGAAAAAAAAATATATATATTAAAAAAGGCATTGCTCTCATGGTTCTTTTAAAGTATTATAAAAATCTTCCCCCAAAATCTTGATT